AGTAAATTGAAAATATAAACGGTCTACAAGCGAGAACTAATAAAGAAATATATATCAGATATCATGATAGATACGTACGTACAATATTATAAAAATTCTTGCATTCTTATTGGTCGACTTGGTTCTGAGTCAACACTGAGTCATGATTTTCAGATTTGGAAGGTTTGTGTAACGAAGGTTGTCCACCATGCTACAATATATATATATCTATTGAATTCAGATAATTGATTATTATTCGATTTAATTTTAAATGTCAAAAACAATGTGCAAAATAAACTAAACTATTTCGGCATTGATTTTTGATATGAAATGTCTGAGTTATTTCTGAAATAACTCAGACATTTCATACCCAAAATTAATGCCGAAATAGTTTCTACGCCATGTATAGTTTCGCTCTAAAGCAAGAACATCAAATAGATGGCAGGAGATAAATCAGTTATATTCTGCGTAGTCGGATATAAACAAAATTTTGCAGTAAAGTCTAACCAGCCACTTACGCGGCCGATTATATTTACTGCGAAATTTCACTTATACCTAACTGCCCAGGATATAATGATAACTATTACTAATTCGTTTTTTATTCTTATGCCAAACAAATAAACCAACAAACATATATATCCAAAAAAAGTTAATCACTGTCAATTGTTACGTATAAACAATACTCCACCAAAAATTTATATAACAAAATGTATTACAAAACAAATACAAATACAAAATACAGCCACCTACTGTAATGTATAAATATTTCTAAAAATACAAAATGAATGATAAGACAAAAAGCATACTACTTTTTTGCACTAATGAATGCTTCAAATTTGCGGTTGAATTCAGCATTATTTTCTTGCTGAGAATCATTATTGTGATCCAGAGTAAGACATGGTCCCGTGTATACATCCTTTTGTGCCAGTTTTTTGAAGTTATCATTAAAATTCTCAATCATTTTAAAGGAAATCTCGAGGTCATGAACAAGCTTAGGATATTGCATTACTAACACTGGTCGTTTAAACATTTTTGATACAAATTTACGTTCTTTATGTTCTATAAAACCAAGTTCTTGCCTAATGTTAATACGAAATCCTTTTACATTATTCATAAGATAAAAATGACCATAATGTGGTTCATCTATCTGAATACTTTTCCTGTGAACTTCGTAATCAAATTTACCATTATTGGTAAATTGATATGACCACTTTACACCAGTTTCACCAGTTTCACCATAATCAATATCAACATTCCACATACTCAGTTTCACTGTCGCACTTTGATTATTTCCTTTCCTATAGTTATACATCATTTTTCCGTTTATCTGTGGAAAACTTGCTCCAATTTGAATATTATGACCATTATTATGGGAATATGAATGATCTATAGAATTATTATGAATTCCTGGGCTAAATTGTATCTTTCTAATCATAGAGGATTCATCACCAGGATTTAATGGAATCGGATGAAAACCGATTGCAAATGAATCAAGAAAGTAACAAACAAAGCCTTTAAGTGAATCACATTGTTTGCTAAGAAATTTTGTAACCCCACAGTTTCCTAAATTGACCACAAATTCCAATGCTCTTTTATTTTTAGAAGTGGACCTAATATTCGCCCAAAAATTAACAGTAATGTTAAAATTTTGTTTGCTACCTTGAGATTCGACCCTACATTCAGATGAAATTTCGAGATATTCATTATTAATATTTTCATTGCCATCATTACCATCACTACCACCATCGTCATCTCTATTATTTCCATCATCACCATTTTCACCACTATCATCGTCATCGTCATCGCTACCATTTTCACCACTTTCTCCTTCTCCAGGTTCCTCATTTTTCCCATGTTTTTCTAAATTTCCAGTTGTTTCTGAAGATGATGTATCATTTGGAATGTTATCTTCATGTCCATCACTAAAATTGGCATTATTATTCAATGTTATATCTTCATCTTTCATTAAATGATACATCACTTCAAATTCATCATTAAACAAAGCAGAAATCTTTTTCATAATTGATGTCTCGAGAGGTTCGGTAACCCAACAAGCGATACATGGTGCGGAATAGTTTTCTTGAAAATAGGGACTCACAGCATATACATTTTGTGAATAGAGTATATGATTAATAGCGTTTTCTTGTGCCTTAAGTTTTGAAAACAAATTTTCAACTTTGGCGTATTCGATTGCTGAAGGTTTTTCGAAAATAGTTGAGCGCACTGACATGAAATCAGACGTATTATTCGAGGTTCCACCGACAGTAACAGTAGGATTAAAACGTTTGATGCATCTGAAAGGATTACTACTGTCTGGTCTAATTAATGCATATAAAACGATTAAAAAATTTAATTTAATGAAATATTTAATTTTTGCAATGCAATATATATCTCTACAATAATCTAATTTGTCCAACGATTATGATATTATTGATAAAAGAATACATATTGAATTAATCAAACTTTTTAATAATCAATTTAATGTTGCGATTATATATTACAGTACGCACAAATCATGTTACTGTAAATACGTCCGATGAATAATATCTTTAGTATAAAACTTCTGGCACTAGTAGCTTTATACCAAAAATACCAGTCCGGAATTTTTAGCATCTCACTTTGAGTTATATTATAAAAAGGAGTGATTTTTAAATGTGGCTTCTTAATCGGCAAATCAAGAAGCCAGCCCATTTCATTGTATTGTTCTTTTAATCATTGTCATTATTCATATTCCGTTGTAAAGATTCTATATTTAAACTTCGGTTTCACTCACAATCACGATCATAAATTGCGCGATGTAAATTAGATTAACTCCCAAAAATGTTGTTAGCAATACAAATATCTGATATATTTGTTAACCGTTTTCGAAACGTTGGCCCAGTGTTAAATTCTTGTGCATGTATTGTTATCTGCGAAAAATTAACAATACAATTACTGTGTAATTTACACAGAAAATAAAATTACGTTCCTGTATAAAAAAGTTTTTGTACAGTATATTTGTGCGGAATTTTTAACGTTGAGTCGACAGTAATTTTTTTATAATCAATTTAAGGCCAGACCAATTTAATTTGGTGGTTTACATTACATCCTTCTCACAAAAGGGGGGGGGCGGTCTAGAGGGAGTTTATTATAATTTTTTTCCGAAATGATCCGCGATATAATAAAAGTTTTCCGAAATTTTCCGCACATATATAGTGAGGGGGAGTCAGAAGGGGGTAATGTAAACCACCAAATTAAATTGGTCTGGCCTAACATACATTTCTGCTCGTGTACTGTGGTTTGCTAAGCAATACTCTCAAATGTAATCTGAGACGTTCAATATGAATTTGGTGCTTCAGACGTTAAATTGACAATGAAAAAATTTGAACCAAACGATTCAAAAACACAAGAATTGACTAGCGCAGATGAATATTTTATTTAATAAAGTATATACTTACTTGAAGGTTGCTTCATTTACATCATGATTATTGGATGAGTTCTTAACGAAACCCCGATCATTTAAGCGAATAGTTTCACGATCTGCACCTCGTTTTTTATATCCTTTGATGAATTTGGTTGGTTTGGTTAGGTTCTGTAATGTTAAACTAGTTAAATCTTTTACCACATCCCTAAAACTTCTCATATTGTTAAAGGTTTTAGCACGCCATTCCATCGTCATTTGATCATTTGGTTCGATTTTTAATGATTTGTCTAAATCTTCAAGTGATTCTTCATATCTTTTTAACTTACGGTAAGTTGCGCCACGATATCGCAATGTGTTTGCATTTTCAGAGTTAATCATTAATGATTTACTTAAATCTTCTAACGCATCCTCATATTTTCCTAAATTGTAATGAAGTATTCCACGTAATTCCAATGCATCAGCGAAATTTGGATCGATTTTCAATGATTTATTTAAACATATAAGTGCTTCGACATCGTTTTTGTTTTGCATTAGATGATAAGTTTCTCCAAGGTGATATAATGACTCTGCGTCATCTGGTTCCAAATCTATGGCGCTAATTAAATCTGCTACTGCTTCATTATGTCTATACATGGTTTTAAAAGTTATTCCACGTTGTTTTAATACAAATGCGTTATCTCTTTTAACTTTTAAGGATTCATTTAAATCCCTAATTGAATCATCATATTTTTTCATCATTCTATAAGTTACCCCACGTTGTCCCAATGCATTTGCATCATTTGGTTGAGTTTCTAATGCTTTGTCTAAATCTTTGAGCGATTCCTCAAGTTTATTCATTTCACGATAAATTTCACCACGTAGTACTAACGACATTACATCATTTAATTTATTTAAATCTAATAGTGATTCTTCGTATCTTTTCATCTTGCGATAAGTCGATCCACGACTTGCTAATGCATATGTATTATTTGGATTAATTTCTAATGATTTATTTAAATCTGATAGTGATTCTTCGTATTTTTTCATCATGCCATAAGTTTGTCCACGTTCCGTTAATGCTTCTGCATAATATGGATTAAGTTCTAATGATTTATTTAAATCTGCTAGTGATTCTTCGTATCTGTTCATTTTGCGGTAAATTACTCCACGGTATGCTAATGCAACTGCAAAATTTGGATTAATTTCTAATGATTTATTTAAATCTGTTAGTGACTCGTCATATTTTTTTAACTTATAGTATTCTATTCCACGATTTTTTAATGCTTCTACATTATTTTTATTAACTTCCAATAATTTATTTAATCTTACAAATGGATTCTCCTTGTGCTTGCTTATAGTAATTTGATTATCAAAATTTAAATTTGAATTATCCTGGTTAACGATCTGCAATTGATTAAATTGTTGTTCTATTAAAAAGTAAATAAGTTATTGTTAATAAAAAATAAAGTTATAATTTTTGATTCTAATAATTAATTAAACATAGTAAACCTATTGAATTCACGTCTTGAGTATAATCATTAGCATTATTTAGTTTATATTGGTTAAAACCTGCTTGATCATTACTTGAAATTCCTATATTAATATCTTTTTCATTGTGATAAACCGGAACCATTCGAATATTATCTAATTTATTGCGAATTTCAACTATACTAGGACGTAAATTTGGATCACCGTTCCAAGCATCACAATAAATATTCATAAAGTCAACCGGCGTCCCATTAATAGGATTTTCTCTTTTGCCATAACTTACATGTAAGACTATTTGCATGTTAGTCATATTTTTAAAAGGAGGTACACCACTTGATAATTCCCAGAAAAGTATACCGAGACTATATATATCTGAAGCTTTATCTCGTTTATATAAATGGTTTTGGAGATAACATGGATCGGAAAATGCGTATGTTCCTCCATCAATAAATTCTGTGTTATTATCTAACGACTTAGATAAGCCAAAATCGGTAATCATTAATCTGCCTTCATGCACTAAAATATTCCTATCATGCTGTAATAATGTTAATATGCATAGCTTATATAAAAAAGAGAAATAAATTAGATAGAAAAGATATCTTACAAGATTAAGATGAACTATATTTGCATTGTGTAAGCAATTAATCCCACTAGAAATTTCTTTTGCCATTCTGATTTTAATTGTCCAATCTAACTCTAAAAAATGATTACGTAAATAAGAACGAAGGTCTCCATTATTAGCGAATTGAAGAACCATATAGTACGCCTCTGTTTTCGGATCTAAATTGTTCGAAATTATTGGTTAAATGATAGTGTTAATTCTTATATTATATAAATCTAATATACCTTGTGTGATTCCAAAAAAACGTATAATACTATCATGATGTGGAACTCTATTAATGTTTTTAACCTTATAGTACATTATAAGATGTAATACATTAAAACGTAAATAAAGACGTAAATAAGAACGTAAATAAAACATATAGATGATATTATATGAATTACTTCTCTAATAAGAGCATCCTTATCGTAATAGAAACTCTTCAGAGCTACAGTTTTTTCGGTATTCCTTGAATAAGCACTATATATAGCGCCACCTCCACTAATTATTTTCCAATTCTGAAAAGAATCATACTCAAATAATGTAATATCTTTTTGTTCAATAGCGACTTCCAACCAATTTGGCATGTTTAGAACACCGCATATCAGTTCTTTATATCTTAAGAGGACTAAAAAACGGGATCTTTGCAGTATAGGTGACACCATTAGTAAAATGAATTATTATTAATTAAAATTGGTGTCACCTATACTGCAGATCACCTGTTACTGTATACTATACGTGCGTACTGTACGTACGTACTGTAAAGAATAAAATTTTCTTTTTTTTTATTTTATCATATTAGTATAGTTTATACTCTTATTATTATTATTATTATTATTATTATGTATATGGTTCTTTTAAAATCCATTTTAATAGCAGTAACCAACTTCATTTCATGTAAATGTTTTAATCAAGTATACTAACATGGTAGTTGATTGTGGCTTGGTGGCTTATTCTATGCAAGCGCGTACGTATACGCTCAGAAAATCGCGTATACGTGCTTATACAAATTTGTTGATCCCTGCGCCATGAGCGTATACGTTCAAAAAAGAGGTATACGTTCAAAAAAGAATGTACACGCTCAAATTAGAGCGTATATGTTCAAAAGGAGCGTAAACGCTCTAATAAGCAAAATGTATATAAGTGCCTGAAATTCAATAGAGAAAGATATTTTTATTAAATTGCATGTCCACTTTCAATTCCTAATAAACAATAAAGTGTAAATACAGACTTTATCTTTTGAATTTGACTTGTAACTTTAATAAACCCTTTCGAGACTCAATTCGACGGACTGAATTGACTTGTAACTTCAGATATTGCCATTCACATTAGTGACTTGCGGTATTGTGGTAGAGAACGACACTTACGATTGGTTATTCAACTCTGGTAATCCATCACAGTCCTTATCCTTAACGGCATCACCCATCATTGCATCACTCATTATCATCACTAATTGATATCAAAGTATTACTTTATAGTACCAAATCGCCCTATTAGTTCCTTAACACTTATAAAAGACCCATTTCGCTTACCCAAAGTTAACCTTATTCTCCGTACACCGTTGGAGTTAGATTGGCATACTCTTTATATTATTTCATTAACTCTCCCATTCAATGGTTACAGTACGTACGTACGTACAGGCTTTACTTATTTGTGCCGGTGTTACTGTTCTGCGTCGTTACGAGATTTAAGTCGATCCGGAATTGGCACCTGAGTGGAATTTTTTTTATTTGAATTCTACTGTTCTGTAGGATTCAAATAAAAAAAAAATTCATCAAATTTGTTGGATGGTTGTCAAGATACCTTCGATCAAATCATGACCATTTTTCAAAGGGTAATATTTTGATAGACGTTTAAGCAAAGGTAGCTCGACAACCATCAAACCAAATTCGATAAATTTTATTTATTTAATTCTAAAAATCCTCGGAATTCAAATAATCAAATTTGGTTAAATGGTTGTCGAGTATCTTCGATCTAAGTTTTAAAAAAATTTATAATATTAGTCGCGGCAAAATTTTCCCTTATTTTGATCGATAACTATTTAATCAAATTTTAAATTTTTTATTTGAATTCTAAAGATCTGTAGAATTCAAATAAAAAAAAATTTATAGAATTTAGTCAAATGGTTGTCGAGATACTTTTAATCAACGTTAAAAAAAAAACTTAAATGGGGTGTGGAAATATCAGGTCCCTAAATAAATTGTTAAATTAAAGGGTTGAATATATTTTTAAAATAATTTAATATAGTTTAATATTAAAATTCTCAATAGGAAAATAAAGTAAATAGAATAAAATTAAAAAATAGTTTTTATGAGTTAAGAAATTTGACAATTAATTTGTAGTATTTTAAATGTTTCACACCAAAAAAAAAAGCTTATAACAAGTTTTTTTTATAAAAATTCAATATCATTCTGAGCTTTAATATTCATGATTGGTAAACTATAAGGAAATTTGGAAGTGAAGCTTCTTCTTTATACACAATAATTTCATCAAATTTTAAATCCTTTAAATTTTTGACAGTATTAGGATCTCCACATACGCTATCATACCCAGGTGGAGGACTTGTAAATGTAAAATCATTCTTAATAGGTTTATAAATTCTTCCTAAAGCCACACTATTCAATAACATTACTTTATAAATCATACCATCACATTTTTTTAATAAATTGATGCTAAAGTTATCACATTTTGATGAAATGGAAGAAAAATATATCCCTTTACCAAATAATCCAAACTTTGCATATTCGAGTTTGTACCCTTCTTTCAAAATACAACAAATCGAGCAAGACTTTTCAAATCATGGATCACCACCCTCAAAGCCAATTGTGCATGTTCTTGAAAATAAGTGAATATGATTAGAAAAAACAGAAAGTTTTTTTTTGTTTAATGCAGTGTCGTCAAATTAAGTTCTGCAAATGAAAATTCGAATTTTCACCTTATCCATGAAAATTACGATATGTACAATATAATTAATAATATTGTTGTGGTCATTCCATGAACACAATAAGATTAATACTCTATTATCATTTCTACAGTTATAGAGAAGTAACGGGTGTATGTACGCACATATGTGCTGTCACTAAAGTATAACGATTTAATTGTGAATAATTATAATTTTTCGGGGTTAAGTCCTGAATAGTGACCTTAATTTACATGTACAGACCTTAACTTGACAACACTCGTATATTTAAGGATTGGAAATTTACGTCTTTGTTCCATGAAACAGCCTTTGCACATTTCCTATATCTTTTCGATAAAGATTATGTCGAGAAATTAAATCTTTTGCACAAAATATTTTCCATATTGAAACAACTGTGGGAACAACTTTATCTAAATGTTTCCAAGATTCTAAAAATAATTCCGAGACAGATTTGTAATCTCTATCGTTTTCATGAAGCTTATATAGAAATGGTTCTAAAAAATTATCATGTTCTTTGTGATTAAAGAAAATTATAAAGAAATAAATGAAAACACGCTTACCGTATTAACAGAAAATAGTAAATGAGCACTTTAAATGAAGATATATACCTTGCCGAATAAAATTTGAATCAGCGGAAATATTTGATGTTTCGAGTATTAATTCAGATTGATTTTCATGAAAAATGAACTCTTCCATTTTGTTCTCATGAAATAAATTATATTCTTAATGAAATATTTTGACAAATTTAATTCACACTAACTGCCAGTCGTATTTGGAAAATTCTAAGATCGAATTTGTCTATATAATTTATACGTCATATTCGATCATTTATTAAAATGAAAATTAAAAAAACTACAAATTTTTTTTTTGGCTTTTGCTGCGGAATCCCATATAAATTGACTTATTTTGATGTACTGTTGCAATTGTATATAGTTACGTACGTTAATTTTCTATTTAATCACGCGTATTTTTCAGCCGTTAAGAGCTACTTCTAATAAAATATCTTAAATTGGAAAATGTTTTAACTTGACGCTCATATAAATTTATTCCATAGTACATTCGTATATAATATTTTTTGTAATATTAAATTTTGCTTGCGTTTCTGCTTTGTCGTTATCGTTATACCGTTGTACCCATTGCTTTAAAAGGCTGCACGTCGATTGAAAAGATATTTCAATATTTCCAGAAAGGAAAAGTCTCATTTTCTCTTGCAAATACATAGTAACATATAAAAGTAATTAATCATTGAGCATATTCTCTCAATAAGAAAGATAAAATTTTATGAATTCACATTATGTTTTTTGCTTGATTAGGATTTTATATCAGGAAGCTAAAATGGTAATCAAAATACGATATTTATAAATTATTGCATTCATCTCTGTCGCAATTTGCGAATTGATTATATTCCTGTTTTGGGATAATAATAACTCTGGATCATTCACGGTCATGACCGAATTGTTATTAACGTTCGTAATCTAAACTAATAAAAATGTGCCAAAGATAACAAATTGATGAAGTCAGTTTCCGGATATGAACTTGGTTTACTTAGACAATTCATTTCATGCAAATGATTCATTCAAAGTCAGATGATATATGGATGTATACTGTTACGCAAAAAGACGTAACAAAGTAACAATTAAACTTTTCTTGGTGTAGCATTATAATAGTCTATGCGAAGTTTATAATTGTAAAGCATACTTTAATTAGACTTATATTGTTATACTACATGTATATAGCTTATTTGTAGTTTAATAGTCTATATAAAGAGGGACATATAGAACTCTGGTTGGAGAGATTGGTATTTTTAGTATTTTTAGTTTGTGAGTTAGAGATTTGGATATTAGTACTTTGGAAAGGGTTCTTAGTATACCGGGTATATTTGTTGGAATATAATATTTTGTTACTGTTAGTGTTTGGGACACAATAAAGAGTTATTGGTTTAGTATTTTATGGTGCCTTGTGTGTGTTAATAAATAATTGGTATCTCATATTAATGCTTACGACCCTAAGCTAAATTGGCTCAGCCGATACAAAGTCTCTCCCCTGGTCGTAACAATACGTACAGAATGCCGCAGTCACATTTCAAGATTATGTGTAACATAAGAATCCAAAGTTCATTCAAATTGGCAGATCGAAAAGAAAGTAAGCAGGATATGCCAGAAAGTAATCTTGTTAAAAGCGATCATGTTAAATTGAAGATCAGATTACTAAGCAGTGTTGGCAGCAAACTTGATCTAATCAAGCATTCAGATAAACTAATATAGCATGAGAGAGAAAATGCAATCAGATAAATATTACTTTTAGTTACCTGCCTAAGTTGGGGATATTAAATAATTACGTACCAATAAAAACTCAATTGTTAGAATTGAACGTAAGCAGAAGTGTTATAAACAGACAGTAGTTCACCAACCATTAGAAGTGAGATACTACCAAACACTCCAAACCCATGCAGGATCCAGCAATTATATAGTAACTTTAAAACTTCATGTCAAAGTCAGGTGGCTTTATATAGTGTGAAAGACGAATCCAGCAATTCAGCTAATAACAACGCAATTATAGCATCTGTTTCTGGTACTAGATCGCTTCAGTTTATATTGGTACATCAATTGCATTGATATATGCTTCATATTGTTAATTTCGATATACAATAGTTATTAAAGTTTTATATCTGCACTGTTACTTCATTAGATGTATTCAATCAACACCACACCATGTGTGTGAGATGCTTTTAGAAACAATCAAGTGTAAATATTCAAAAAGATCCTTATTTTATGGCGAGTGTTAAGTTCACCAAAATGTTAAAATAATTTTCTTTAGTAGAACGTTGAACTTGGTTTCATAAATTACAAACGTCCTTTTTTTTAAAAACCATTTATTTCTCGACATTCTACATAAGAACCTACTTTTGGTGCTTTAATAAAAAGTTTTCGTTGGGCAATTTTACTAAATAAACTATCTTCATCTAAGCCGTAAATCTAACCCTAACTCTAACATTAAAGAATTTTTACTGCGCTACAATATTAGCACACATTCACGTAATGCCATTCAAGTAATGCATCTAGTATACGATGTGACGATACATTTTAATAATCATCCAATCTAAATTTATGATCACATATATCGAAATGCTTTAATTCGACTCAATGAAGAAGGTAATCAATAAATCAATGTAATAATAAAAGATTTGTTTTGTATTTGTGTAAGGATGAGCCACTAATATTGAAATTTGGCTGAAGCCAATAAAAACCAATTCCAGTAATTACATTATTTAATGAGCCACATGTTTCTTCGCTATGAATTATAATTTATCATTATTCAAATAAAGGTATTTATATAAAAGTCAATTTTAAGCAATAATATTTACGCAATATTTTTTAAATTTTTAAGCCATTTCAAGTCTTTTCGCGAAATTTCTTTAGAAACTTCATAAATTTCCATGATCAACATGTACAGCCCACTGAGTTGTTAAAATTAAAAATTCTAAGTACATTTAAACATAAATAATGTTCTCAGCCATAGCTCATTGCAGAATTAATTATTATACACGTTTTTAAGAACAATAAACGAATGACTCTTTACCCAAATGAGTGAAAAAAATGAAATTTCACAAGCGTCAATGTCCGAACGTACCGAAATTGCAATAGAACCTAAGCCATCCATTCCACATAATAGCAAGGCAATCACTAAATTTTTACTATCACCAAATAAAAAGTATGCTGCAACGTGGAGTAAAGATGACGATTCAATTTACGGATGGCAACTTGGTAAAAATCAACCGTTCAAGTTTGATCATTTTATAAATGTTAAAGACTTTTGTGAGAACTCAGAACCACAATTGAGCGGAGTTTCAAACAACAAACTTGTTGCAATAGAATCGATCAACAAAGATCTTCTTAGTTATGGAGTAATTGGTTAGTGACAAATATAAATAAATAATTAGTAATGATTGTTAATATTCGCAATATACTTGAAAATAATTTTCAAACGTTTATATTCCTTTAAAGAGATCGTAAATCTTGTCACCCGTAAGAAAATAAAATTAGAAACATTATGTCTAGATAAACCAATGAAGGAAATTTGCCTTGTTGGTTGTAGATTTTATAATAATGGAGATTTAGTTATGGGATCACAAATACTAAATAATTATAATCATAGAACGTATTATGAAGTTTTTATTTTTCCATTTAAAAATTTAAGCAAACAACATTGGAAAGCTAGCAATTCAATATCCTGTGGAATATCTGGAGAAATGAAAGCATATGATTTTAATGACAATGAAAAGGTTATGATTATTGACTCCTGTGGTTCATTAACACAATGGGATTTAAATACTTTATCATTTGAAAAACAATATCAGTTAGAATGGAATAAAATTTGGGCACTCCATCCACTGGAAAAAGATTTTTATGCTTTTAATAAAAGTTTAACATTATTTGCAGTATGTTTACAGGTTTCTGATTGTCCAGAAGTAGACTTATTTATTTCTGTTTATTTGGCCGAAAATGCAATGCATTTATCACAAGGTAAGTATTTAAAGACGTATATGAAAAAAAATGAAATCTCTTACAGTATGGGTGATACCTATTAGAATCAATTAACAATACATTTTGTTAGTAAATTATATTAATTTATGAATTTAATACAACTAATTAAACTAATTATCAATTAACAGACAAAATTAAATATAACCCCGATAAAACTTTATTACGTTCGGAATTTATTTCATCTGATGAAGGAGAAAGATTACTGTTATTTTTTAATGATGATCATCTTGAAATAAGAGATCCTTACCATCTTCAACATTGCTTTACTAGGACTGTTTCAGGTCTATGTAAAGAACTTTCAGCATCAAGTAGAGAAGAAACTTGGATAATGTTTGAAGATTTGATAGATGAAAAAATTTATAACATATCAAATGGAAATTTATGGGTTAAAGAGCTTTCTAAACAACAATGGGTCACATACTTACGAGATCAATTAAAAGATACAAATAAAATAAGCGCTCTACCTAGTAAGCCTCAAATAGAAGACCTTTTGCAAAAAATTTTAGATGAACATAATGATAAGGATGATGATGAATTTATTGTCAAGAATATAAATCCGTCATATAATGGGTCATTAGTAAAATGGAAAGTAATTAATAACGGAAGATTAATACAAGCTCAAAAATTTGATTCAACTACAAATGAATGGAAGTCTTTAGAATGGGAGGTTTACCCAGAACATTTAGTAGACGAAAAACCTCCAAAAAAATTTGTTTATAGATGTAATTTATTGTATAATGAAGATTTAATACTTATTACATCTATTGGATTATTAATTTTGTCAGTTTGGCAGAAAGATGAAATTAGATTACGATATTACAAGGGGTATCCTTTTAAATATAGTTTTCTAATCAAAAAGGATCTTAAAAATCAAATGATATCGGGCTATTCAAGGAAGGAATCCGAATATAAAAAAAAACAATTTTTTGCAAAGAAATCATATATTCAAAAATTACTTGATGAGATACAACTGCATAAAGAAACTTCATTACCACCACCGGATTTTGATGCAATTACTCTCTATCATGAAGATTTATGCATGGATGGAAGATATCCTTTTAGAGAATTAATAGATGATTATATTGATGACAAAATAACAATGATGTTATATGGACATGATCTCTTAAAAAGTTTTTTTAAGAATAAAGATCATCAAATGATGGAGAAATTGTATGCAAAATGTATTAAAATAAACACAGAGAAGGATAGCTTTTTAGCAAACTATAAGTTATTAGAAATTATCACCTTTTCAATTAACGACCTGTCTGTAAAATCTTCTGACTTACTAAACCAATTTTTATCGCATACATCATTTACTCTATCAAGTATGGAAAAAGAAATTGCTATTGGAAGGTTTTCAAAATCACATCTTCAAAATCATAGAACATATTTACAACTTTCTAATAGTTATTTTACCACTAGATTTGTCACATTTTTACAAAATATGAAAGAATTATTTGTTGCATTTTTAGAAGAAAAAAACTATTTAAAAAGACCTGAAGAGAATCCAACTTTAATTTTAATTTTTCCACTACCAAAATTTAATTCTTATACTAGAAATTATAATCCTTGGACGGAGTTGCTTTTTCCCAATCCCAGTCCATTTTGTGATTATCAATATTCAGAACTTTATAAATGGTGGACTGGTCAAGCGCTTATTAATTTCAAGTGGAACACTTATGGAAAATATTACTTTATGGCAATTTTGCTTTTTTATTTAGCTTTTATGAGTTGTTTTTTGGTAGTTGCTACTATAGAAAAAGATCTATCCAATAGTACACAAGAATTACTATTAAATGCAACAATAATACTTGGAGCTTTACATCTAATTTTTGAATTGCGACAACTGATTTATTCACCATCTTCATGGATATGCGATCCTTGGAATTATTTTGGTATTAACGTTCAATTATTATTAATTTAATAATTTCATAGTATTAAATCTAATTGACGTTTTTATTTTAAGATGTATTAGCCATTTTATTTCCTGTATCAACATCTATTATATGGTTAGAATCTTCCAAAATTCCAGTCTGGAACGCTACAATATCTACATTATTCCTTGAAATTAAGTTTATGGCATTTTTTCGTACTGTTGAACTTACTGGTGCTTATTTTGCAATGATTATCGGAGTTGCGGAAAGTGTTTTTTCTTTTTTAGTAATCTTGGGTTTTATTGTATTCGCTTTTGCACATTCTCTGCATATTTTATTACGACCAACTACCAGTGTTTCTTTAAGTCAGCCTAGTAATTCAGCTGATCCGAATGATCCTTGGAATCTTGTAACCACTTACTATTCAGTTCTTGAAGATGGCACGGTCTCCAAAAATGCTACACTTACTGACCTTCCAAATACATCCACAAATATGTTTGCTATGCTATATACTGCCCTTTTGGCTGTCTATATAATGCTAACGGGTATTTTTTTTATTTAGTATTTTTTTCATTTTAATTAACAATACTTGAGAGCAATTTGATTAAATTTAATCGATTATTTATATTATTTGTAGGCGATTCAACATATTTATCTTATTGGACATTGACTGAAGATTTAACATTGGCGCTTTTAATAATGTGTTTTTCTTTTTTTACAACCATCTATTTGATGAATCTATTTATTGGTTTATTAAGTAATGCAATTCCTGAAACAAATAGAAAGGAATTATTTTTACTTCAGAAAGCAAAAGTAATTATTATTTTTTTTGTCATTTATAGTGTTAAATTATTCTAAAAAAATTATTATTTTTTTATTTAATACATAGTTTTTAGCAGAAATTGAATTATTTTATATGTTACCTTACCAACGGAGAAAAAACAACTGGTTTCCTGAAATCATGTAAATAATATTTCATACTTTTATTTCATACGTTAATAATATTAATATAATATTATTGCAAAAATTGTTTATTTTTATTAGACATCAATTTTAATTCATAATTTCTTAATTTATAGATTTTATAGATTTCATCTCGATGAATTTCATAACATAGTTAAAAAAATAAAAAATAATAAATGAGAAGACATTAATGAAATGCCATTTATTTCCGAAATTCTTTTAGAACTCACCAAAACAGATATCATTAATGAAAAAATTCATAATTTAATAGATAGTGATGAAAGGGTAATTCAGGAATTAAAAAAAATTTTTAGTGAAGAAATTGAAAAATTAAAAACAATGATAGACGAATTAAAAAATTAGAAATATTAGAATCATTTTGAACCATATATTTATAAATTATTAATCCATTAAACTGACCAAGTGTTTGTGTATCAGTTACACATTAGACTACTCGACGAAAAGATTATAAGAAATGCCTTTTTCTTACTCGCATGAGATAACGTACAGTTTTTTTATATTTATTAGCTTATTTAGCATTGAAATGGTATATTATATTTTATGTGAACAATATATTATATTTGATATCGAGATAGATCAAAAAGCATAGCATTCTAAAAGTTATTCATAAATATACTGGTTCGAATCAGGTTAATGGCGCAGTAATAAGAGAAATCTTTTCAATATTATTACGCACTCATCGTCGCGAAATAACGCTCCAGGGCATTATTTTTAAGCCTAATTTAAAAGCACTAATGATTAATTTAGCAGAGTGCGAATAATAATTTTCGGCTATCTTTCAAGTTAAAAACAATGCAGGGACGTTATTCACGACGATACGATAATTGTATCAACATTAAAATTTGTTTATTTCCTTTTTTTCAGTATTAAATGTTTATGAATACATCAAAATTGTGTAGATATATTGAATTAACAACAGTAATTTATAAAAATGGGTAAAAGATTTCAAATAAACATTAATATCTAAAAATTATTAGAATTCTGCAACAAATCTATTTGATAATAGTCTGACTCCATATTTATGTAATCTTTGAAATATAGTGCTAATATGTTGATTAAAAACGGAGTAGTAATCCTCTTTTAGAATGCTCTTTTATTTATCCAGAGAGACCGAATAATAAGTGAAAAACAAGTTTAATAAAAACGGGAAGTTAGAAAGTAGCTACCTATCCAGATTTATCCTCTTATTGGCGAAATTGACGATCCTTAATAACGTGATATGATCATAACCAATCAGGAAGTGTAACGCGAAATTAACAACAATCACTCTTTTCATTAAGAAATCACCTTTTGCGTACTAACCAAAAAAAATCTTGCAAAATTTGGTATAATGCTACCCACTAACTCTAATCCTAATTCGAATAAGATATCAATCACATTATAAAAAGGTAGAAAATCATTACGTAGGAATGTTTAAAAGGCCGGTCCAATCCGACTCAACTCAAAAGTCGAGTCTTTATTAAAGTTTGGTCCCAAGTTGACTTGGGCCCGACTCCGCATTTCACATGTATCTTGAACGTTTAAATATGGGGCATCGTCAATCAAAACGTAGCTTAGTGAGATTTATCATTTCCGAAAATTGTCACACAAAGTGATAAAAAATTATGAGATGTCTAATTGTAACATAGGGTGTATCGATCAAAATTTTATTTACTGTATCGTCACATAATAATCGTATGGGCCAATTTGTATCACTATGCAGAAGAGGGAATCCCATACCCTAAAACTTTTTGATAGTGAAACAAGTTATTTGACAATACAATTATCTGACAGACAGCTCACTAGACAATTAAATATATCATTTTTGAGGCGGCAGGTTTATTTTTAACACTACACAACAATGACAAATGGCATGTCTTAATAGATTCAGGGTAATAATTAGATGATAATCTAATGGGTTTTAAGATAATCTAATGGGTTTGATGCATATTCATTAAATCCTTCGTGCAGAATGGACCCTCAATAAATAAAAACAATCGCTTTAGTCATTCGTCAGACCAATCAAAAAAATTAAATAAGGGTTTAAACTAAATTTAGTGACTCTATACGGGCCCAATTGCAACAAATTAGCCCATACGTTATAAATTATTAAGTAGGTTGTTACAAATAACATGTTACAATTAAACATCTTGTGTAACAATTTTTCGGAAAATAATCAATCTCACTATGTTACGTTTTGATTGACGTTGCCCTATATAGTCGAAAAAGATATCGATATGTATTCAGGCCAAATTTTGCATGAATATACATTTCTTTTTAGTACTTTTTAGTCTAATATTTAATGTATAAAGTTGTATGTGATATGTGGAGTCGAGCCCCAAGTTGACTTGGGACCGAACCTTACTGCTATTTTCATCATTTCTGGAACACCTGATAAAATTGACCGAATGGTATTCCAGCCGATTCGATTAAGTTGAAATTTCGGAATAATAGATTCTCATTTGAACACTTGCCCAACATGTTTTAGTATGCTTGGTTTGTGCAAAAACATATATACATAATCAAATTACAATGTATATGTATGTAACGTAACTTAGATCCGAAATCAATGACTTAATCGGAACGGCCGAAAAATCATTCGGTCAATTTTTATCAGGTGTTCCAGGAATTATGAAAATAGCAGTAATAAAGATTTGAATTCTTTGGAGTCGATTCAAAAGACCGACTCGGACTGGATTTTTAACATCCTTAAAAATCATGCAAAATGTGCACTTTATGATATGATTGATGGATATTATACCCGTATGAAATTTGAAATCTAACATAAAAAAAAGATCAAAAAAATTGTAATTACGTAAAGATGAAAATCATTATCAATATTTATGTTTATTAGAAAAATTTTTGGTGTTAAATTAATGATTTTTTGTAATATTGATTGGGGAAATTTTAGATTGTTCACTGCTTTATATTTTTCAATCGGTTACGTTTATATTTTTTTGAAATCAGCAAAATTCTTAGAATCTAATCTCTGACATTTAGGATTTTGTGCACCGATTATAGAATTTCTAATGGGAATACGGTCAATTTACAGAAAACCAATAAGTATTATTGTTCTGGCTCATTTCATGATTTCGGTCAATTCCAGATTGACCTAATACTAAGATCATTCTTGAATTGTCATCGATTCCGAAATGGACCAGATCAATCTTTGACGAAATTTTATAATCAGGGTGTGACCAACCATTGGTGTGACAAATAAGCATCAACTAATTTATTTATGAGTACATTTATTGTCGGTAAAATTGGCCTTTATACCCTATAAACACGTGACCGAAAAATTTTTTTTGATGCACAACTTACATAAATAAATGTACAGTACATTAGTGTAACAAAGATATACGTTGAAGGTAAAAAAGTAGCACGATAAATTTAAAATCTAGTTTTTATAATTCCAAATGTCTCCATTTTATAATCAGTGTTATTTTTTTCGGGTTTAATTGTTATAAGTAAATAACTTAATTCAATGATTATTCTCTTGAGTAAACCGCATATATGTTCTAATTTTAATATATGCGCATATTTTAGTTCTTTTAGATATAAAATCTATATTAAACATGTCCAATTGGTTGGAAGTTGCTATTGAACAAAGATATATCAGATTATTTGAATATAATTCTTTTCAAGACTGGGAAGAAATTGGTAGTGGAGGTTTTGGCGATGTACATTGTGCTTATTCAAGAGACTCTGAAAAAAAAAGTAGCTTTAAAGAGATTATATTACAATAGGAATGATACTTCACTGGATAACTTTATTAAAGAAGTAGTTATCAATATAATCTATATTTTTATTTACGTTCTTATTTACGTCTTTATTCACATTTTTACTAACCTTGCTGTATTGCATTATAAGATTAAAAATATTAATATAGTTGCACACCATGATAATATAGTGCGGTTTTTTGGAATCACACAAGGTATATTAATTTTATATAATATAAAATTGTACTCAATCAGTTAACTAATAATTTCAAGTACATTAGATCCGAAAACCAAAAGATATTATATGGTTCTTCAATTCGCTAATAATGGTGACCTTCGTTCTTATTTACGTACTCATTTCTCAGAATTGGATTGGAAAGCTAAGATCAGAATGGCAAAAGAAATTTCTAGTGGAGTTAATTGTTTACACAATGCAAATATTATACCTTGTCAGCTTAATTTATTTTTCACTTTTATTATATGTGCATTAATATTATCTATTATAGCATGATGGAAATATATTAGTGCATGATGGTAGATTAATGATTACGGATTTTGGATTATCTAAATCATTAGATAGTAGCACAAAATCTATTGGTGGAGGAACATATGCATTTTCCGATCCAAAATATATCGAAAGTCCATTTTTATTTAAACGGGACAAACCTTCTGACTTCTATAGTCTTGGTTTGCTTTTTTGGGAGTTATCAAGTGGCGTGCCACCTTTTAAAAATATGCCTAATCAAATAAAAATTGCCTTACATGTAATCGAAGGCAATAGAGAAACACCTATTAATGGGACTCCGGTTGACTTTATGAATATTTATTGTGATGCTTGGAACGGGGAACCAAGGTTGCGTCCTAATATAGCAAAAATCCGTGATAGATTAAATAATATGCGAATGATTCCAGTTTATCATAGTGAAAAAGATATTAATATAGGTATGTCAAAAATAATGATTATGAAGATTTTAATCCATATAAACTAAATAATAATATTCAAGATACAAATTTAGTAGAATAATCTATAAATTGTAAAATAAAATAAAGTTTACAATTTTCAATTCTTATAATTAAATGTAATAAACCAGAAAATGATATTACTATGCTTTCCGAGCCGGTCAAAAAGAAACACTCAGTTTCTGGTTTTGACGACCGTATAATGTATGCTTCATCTGAAATGCAAGGCTGGAAAATCAGTATGGAAGATGCACACGCTATTATACTAAAACTTTTGGATAAAAAAGGCTATAGTTATTTTGGCGTTTTTGACGGACACGGTGGTAAATATTTGTTAAATTTTATCAGTTTGTGCAATAATTGCTTTCTTTTTTTACAACAGCAATATTTGGCCTGCTATAACTGGAAATATATCTTAATGTTTGCTCTCTGTTTTTAAATTATAGGACGAAATATAGCTCATTATAGTTGTCGTAAGCTTCACGATCGTATTGCAAAAGATTATCAATTTGAAATAGATCTTAAAACAGCTATACAGAATGGTTTCTTGGGAACAGACGATGATTTGAAGAATGGTATTCAATAATTCATCTATCTATTAATTTTATTCAACATAATTACCCTTTTAATTAAATTTTTTAATATCTTTCTTTAATGTCTTTAATATCTTAGATCCCCAGTTATTATTACCACTAAAATTTTCCGAATTACTGCTTGAATCAATAGAGAAACTATCTAGCGCTATCATTTCGATTTGTATCGTTACTCTTAATAGATTCGATTATTGTCAAGTGTAAGATCATCATTTATCTCTGGTGTAAGACCCACATCATCATCAATATACACACTACCATTTAAATTCAGAGCCTTTTTCTTCATATCTTTTTGCTATCCATTCATACCATTCCGTTTCAGTCCTTTTATGGAGAAATCCGGCAACAATTACAGTCATATTATTATAACTACCAATACCAACACTATCTCTAGCTAAACAGTAATCCACCAAATCTTCACAAGCTCTCCTGAGATCTTTATGTTTAGAGATGTTTTCACGAATAAAGCTAATCACATGTGGTGATGGAAGACACTCCCATATGCCTTTTTTTTAGAAAAAAAAAAGATTAGTATTATGCACAAGTTTTTATAAAATAAAATAATTAAAATGAAATTTACCTTTAGATGCTAAGACTAAAAACTCAGTAGCATCAGGAATAATTGTAACTTTTTTAACGTCAGGATATGCTTAAATAAGTAAAAATAAATAAAATATATATTAATTAAATAAAATTAAACCGATTTAAAAATAAGCGTAGTTCATGTGTAGACTTTTACCTGTTACAAGTTGTTCTTGTGGGAATAATTTTGGATTTTGCTTAAATTCAAAGTCGCCAAGAGCACGAGACGTTTCTAAATTTCCTATATAATGCGAGAAAAAGAGAGAATTCATTGATGACATCATGTGTGAGAGAAAGCAAATATGTCAATATTTTGAGAAAAAAGGAAAGATGTATAATTAGAGATGTGCGAATGCATATTTTTTTGGCTCTGCATTGCATAATGCAGCATAATGTAGCATGCGACATTATGCAAT